CTACAGCATGAATGCGGCGAGGCAGGGATGAATTCCCACAGGCGGGGGCAGGGGGCGGCGCGGGGCGGGGCAGGCAGGAACGGGGCGCCAGTCCCGGGACGCCCCTGCCCTCCCGCCTCCCGCTCATCCCCGCGCCCCCTGCTCCCGGCCCGTCGCTGTCCGCAGCCGCCGCGCCGCCTCCCTCCGGGAGTCTTCGGCGAGCGCTCCGCCGCCAGCCCGGCAAGGCCTCGGAGGGGTCCCCTCTCCGCCGCTCGCGCAGCCGCCCGGCCTCCCCCGCCGCGCGATCGGCGCCCCCGCCCCCGTCCGGGAGCGCCCGGGAGCGCCAAGCGCCGCCTCGGCCCCCAGCGGCGCGGGGCTTTCGCTTTCGCTTTCGGCTCGCCGGCAGCTCGGGCCGCGTCCGCCCAGAGGGCGCTCCGTGCTCGGCCGGGGGCGGCGCACCCGCGAAGGGACGGGAGGGCGCGGGGCGCGTCCCGGGAGGGGAAGGAAGGGCCGCGGCAGGGGGCGGCGGGGCGGGGCGCGGGCACGGCCGCGGCGAGAGGCGAGGGTGAGCCCCGCGGAGTGAGCCCCCCCGGCTGAGTAAGGGAATGCAACTATCCGCTGTAAGTACTAACGAGGGATCTCAGCTCCAGAGGCTCTTTGGTGTCACGTGCACGCAAAGGTCTGTCCAGCCCCCCCTGGCAGCCGACTCTCCCGCGCGCTGCAGGCATTGCTCCTCGGCCCCTTTCCTCCCTCGAGGAAGCCAAGGCGGCTCGCAGACCCTCCTGCCCCGCTCCGTCCTCTCCCCTCGGCCAGGAGTCCGTGCCCGGCCGGCCTCAGCGGAGGCCGGAGCAGGGGCTGCGACCGGATCCCCGAGTCCCAGGCCAGCGCCCCCACCGCCGCACCCGGTCGGCTGCAGCCCTCAGACCGGGATCGGCGCCCCTTCCCTGTATTCCCTCGGCTGGAGAGGATCCTTGGCCTCCAGCCACCCAGCCCACCTCCCAGTCTGGCTGCGCTCGCGTCAAGCAGAGCCCCCTCCTTTCCCGGGACCGTCTGGCACGTTGCCAACAGCTCTGCCTTTGGCGCGCATGTCGTGTTCTTCGCGGTGGACGAGACAAGGGGGAGCCGGGGCGGCACGTCAGCCGGAGTGCCAGACTGGGGCCTGGGGACCGGGCTCTTGCCCCCGCTTGGCCCCGATGCCCCCTGGGGGACTGTGGCCAGGTGCTCGCTTCCGCCAACCGCCTCCCAGGCCGCTGATGTGCGAGTGCCATGGAGCCGGACGCACCGCCGCGGACTCCGCACGGGCCAAGAGGCAGGAGGCAACGGCAGTGCAGGGGTGTGAGGAATCCGGCGTGGGGGGCGGGTCTGTCAGGCCTCCTTGGCTCCGCCCCCAGACCCCACCCCCAGCGGGGCTTTCCACGGCCACCAGCAGGAAGCAGAGCCGAGCGAGTCCGCGAGGTCGCCCCGCGGCCTGCCGCCTGCCGTTCCACTTGGAACCACCGAGCCATAGAGCAGGAGAGTTGGGAGGGGCCAGAAGGCCATGGAGTCCCACCCCCTGCTGGTGCAGGACGGCACGGGACACCACCCCACTCGGATGGCTGCCCCGCTTTGTCCAGAATGCCTCCAGCGTGGGGGAGCCCCCCACCTCCCGGGCAGCTGGCCCCACTGCCCTGTTGGTCTGGCAGGGAGGAGCTCTTCCCGCTGCCCGGCCTCAGTCTGGGCTGTCGCAGCTTGAACGGCCGATTCCGCGTCCTGCACTGGGCCCTCAGCCAGAGGAGGCCTTGGCCTTCCTCCCTGTGGCAGCCGTCCAGGTCCCTGTAGAGGGGTCCCATGTCCCCCCTCAGCCTTCTCTTCTCAAGGCTGAACATGCCCAGTGCATGCCCACCTCCACACACGTGACGTGTGGTTATCGCACCGTTGGCAGGGGAGGGGGCCCCGTGGCATTGCTGGGCGCTTGCGGGCTGGGTCTGGCTTGGCTCGCTTCCTGAAGGCCTCTGCCTCCAGCGGCCCTGCTGTGGAGCTGCCCGCGGATGGCTCAGTCCTCCCGGAGGAAGGAGGAAGAGCTGGCCAGGCAGTCGGCGCGGCGCCGCGACTCATACATGGAACTGGCAGGACGGCTGCACGTGCACCTGGCGGCCCGTCATGAGCCCTGGGAGGCAAGCCACGTGCGCCCGATCCTGAGGCAGGAGGATGGGGAGATAGCGGCCAGGCCAGAGCCTCCCCCTAAGGAGCCCCCCCAAGACACTTCCAGAGAGCTCCCCTCAGCTCCCCTGAACGCCACCCTCCCTCCGAGCTGAGAAAGTCGAGTATCTTTGCCAGGGAAACCCCGTGGACAGCCCCAGAGGGCAAGAGGATATGTCACCGGAAGACGAGCCCCTCAGGCGGAGGGTGTCCAATGTGCTTCTGGGGAAGCGCAGAGGGCTAGTGCTCGTAGCGCCAGAACGAGTGGAGCCCAAAGGACACTCACTTGCGGATGTATCTGGTGGCGAAAGTTGAGTCGGAGGCCGGAAAGATCTATACTCCATAGGAACTGGGAATGTAAGATCCATGAGTCAAGGCAAGCTGGACGTGGTCGAACAAGAGATGGCACAGGAAACGGCCTCTTCTTTCCAGACTCCCCAGTGCGCTGCTGAGTCCTGTGAGCAACTCGGGCAGCGCAGCTCTGTGGCTCGCAAACTCTCAGCCGGACCCCCATCCCTGACCCCCATCCCGGACCCCCATCCCACAAGGGAACAGGCAGCCATCGGGGCTATGAAAGCCCATCTGATCTTCAAGGATCCTCGCAGCCTCACGGATCCTCCCTGTGGTCTCCGGGTTGGCTTTCTGGGGAGCCAACATGCTCTCGGACTGTGGACAGGGAGGGGCTGCGGGGCGCCAGGCTGAAGGGGGTGCCCCCCATCCGGACAGGTCCTGGACGGCCAGTCTAAAGGGCCACGGCTGCCTCCAGTGCGCGGCAGGGGCTGCTTGCAGGGGGTCGGGAGATCCTGAGCGCCCAGTTCGCAGGCCTGCAGGCCCGCCTGGCCAGGGGGGAGTCCCGGGGGAGGTCTCAGTGGCGCCGCCTGCGGCCCCGAGCTGCTGCGCCATGCCGGGCAGCGGGGATGGTGGGGCTGCCCTCAGGGGTGCCTGCAGCCGCCCGCTGCTTTGGCACGAGGAGCAGAGCGATCCCCCCCCCCCCCGGGGCCCCTTCGGCGGCTTCCAGCCCCCTCCTGCTCCAGCTCAAAGGCTGGGCGGCCCAGGCATCCCATGGCTGGCGGGGGACAATGGGGACCGGGAGGAGGAGGCCTGTCTGGGGCTGGGCGCCATCCTCTCTCCCGCCCCTGCCCTCCCAGCCGGGCGTCGGAAGCCCTGCAGCCGAGCCCGTGGCCCCTGCGCCCCCGAGGTCTGTCCAGAAGCCTTCCGGGAAGGAAGTGGGCAGCGGCTGCTGGTGCTTGAAAGATAAAGACCCCGTGAAGCCCCCCGCCCGCCACCTGCCATAGGCTCCTAACCCAGTCCCACCCTCCCCCTTTGCACTTAGGGCAAAGTGCCTCCCGGGCCCAAATCCGGCGAATGCCCAAGCGGGGAGCAGACTTTCCCGCCCAATGTTCCATGTGCGGAAGGGGGCATCCTGTCATGTCTGAGCAGCAGCAGCTTGGACCACCACGTTTGGGAAAGTGCAGCCGCCGGTGGGGGCCGCATTCTGGTGAGAACATGCGGCTCAGCATTAGCAGGGTGGAGCTGGAAGGGGCCAGGCAGGCCATCGAGTCCCACCCCCTGCTGGCGCAGGACTCCACGCCACACTGCCCCCCTCGGAGGGCTGCCCAGCCTTGCCTCGAATGCCTCCAGTGCGGGAGAGCCCCCCCCTCCCCAGGCGGCCGCGCTGCTCTGGCCGTGAGGAAGCATTTCCCGATGTCCAGCCTGGACCTGGGCTGGCGCCACTTGAACGGACCGTTCCGTGTCCTGCGCTGGGGCATCAGCCAGAGGAGATCTCGACCCGCCTCTTCTGACAGCCTTTGAGGTACCTATAGAGGGATCCCATGTCCCCCTCAGTCTTCTCTTCTCAAGGCAACTGTGCCATTCCGTTCACTTTGGCTTAGAACCCACCAAGACATAGAAGCAGGGCGAGTCAGAAGGGGCCTCCCGGGCCATCTAGTCTGACCCCGGCTCCAGCCGGCTCCTTTCACGACAGGCCCACCATCTGCGTGTCCAGCCTGTCCTTGGACGCCCGCACCACTGGGGCCTCAACCCACCTCCCGGGGAAGCCCATTCCATACCGCCAGGGGCAGCTCCCTTCCCAGGCAGGGTGCAAGGACTGAAGCGCACCACGGACCTTGTCCTTCGCCAGGCCCCGGCCGCGGAGCAGCGCAGCAGCCTGGTCAGGTAAGAGCGGAGAAAGGACACGTTCGCATGCGAGCCACGTCCGGATCGTGGCCACAGACGTGGGCAGCATTCAGCTGGCGAGCAGCCTCTGGCTCAAGGAACATGCGGCTGGAACGCGCCAAGGAAACTCTGCTGAGGGCACAGCCCTGCAGCTCACTCGGGGCCCGATCCTGCCCCCCTGCAGAGCATCCGAGGGGCCATGGCATACTTTGGATCTCCAGCGTGGGCCTGGAGGCAGCCCTCCGGGATCGGGGCTGGGAAGGCAGCTCTGGCCCCCACCCCTCCCCGGCTGCCCTCCGAGACGGAGACCCTCGCCTCGGAGGGGTTCGCGGGCGTGTGTGGGTGCACCGGGAGGCTGGGAAAGCCACCACATGAAGGCATCCTCCCCACAGGCTGTCCTGTGAAGAGGTGGGGGGGGCGGAGGCCCCTCCCTCCGAAGCCCCTGAGGAGGGCGCCCCGGTAGCCACGTGCCCGCTGGTGCCCTGAGCTCAGGGCTCTGGCCAGAGCGCTCAGCCACGGGGTCCGAGGCACAGCAGCCGAGGCGGGACCCCCAGCTCGGCATCGAGGCGAAGCCAGGAGAGCGCCAGAGTCAGCCTGACGCACGAGGGTCTGTGCCCCCCACTGGCAATGCCCCCCCCCCCAGCGATGCACCTTTGGGCTGAGTCGTCTTCAGAGAATAAGAAGGACGTTTTATTGGAAGGCAAGACGAGCGTGAAAAAGGTGCAGAGGCAGCGCCGGCTCACTTTGGTTTCTGCAGACCGACCAAACGCTTGGCATATTTCCCTGCAGTGCGCAGCCAGCCTTCATTCCTGGCTTTCTTCTGTGCCGCCTCAGCCACCTCCCGCGCCTCCTCCAGCAGCTGGATCCTCCCCTCGAACCCGGGCTTCTGGTCCGCTCCTTGCTCCTTGATGAGCAGGTCGACGTATTGGGGCATGGACAGCGGGTTGGGCAGCAGCGCAATTTCCTGCAGGCGCTGAATACTCCGAGTCGCCTTCTCTATCAGACCCTGTAATCCTGCCTGCGCCTCCTCACATTCCTGGCTGAGACTCTGGAGCAGCTTCTCTGCACTCATCACCTCGCCAGAGGCCGCTTCATACTTTTTCTTCACGTCTTCAAAGGTCCTTTCCTCTTTCACTACCTCATATGTAAACCTGTATTTTTGGAGGGAGTGATGGTTCTGTGAGCAGCGGCCCGGGCAGACGTTGCATGTTCCAGACCACAGGCCTATGGCGAAGCAAAGGCGATTGAGGCGATCCCAGGGAACCCGGCACGGATGGCAGCAAGTGAAGTGGCACTGGCTGCAGTTATTTGCATCCTGATCCGTGTCTTTCCTCACTGGCTTGATTGTTTCCACTTCAAACGTGAAGTTTCTGTTTGCCGCCATGTCCTCCTTGTGCGCATCCAGAGCTTCCTGCGTCTTCCGCAGTTCTTTCAGCTTCACCAGGACGATATTGATTTGGGGACGCAGCCCCGCGAGGGCCGTTTCCAGCTCCCTCCGCTCCCGGAGGACCTCCTTTGTCAGCGTTAAGCTTCTAGTTTCCAAATTGTTTAGTGAATCAAAGAATTTCTTCATGTTCTCAGTGTTAACTTCCCAGAACACTCCATTCAGTTTCGCTTTGCTGCCACTCTCTGTGCCATTGTGGGCAAACAGCGCAGAATTATTGAACGTGAAGTGAACTGGGGCTCCGCTGGCATCCTTGGCGCACGGCACACCAGCTGCCTTGAGGGTCTCCAGGACAGGCGGCTTCTCTCCATCTGCAAACGTGACCAGCACTTGGATGTTGTCCCTGATATCCTTCCCAAAAATGGAGAGCACCGAGTCGAACACGTATTTCTGGTTCTCAGTCAAGCGGGCCGAAGAGGCCTGGACCACGAAGCAGACCGCTTCGATTTGGTCAACGCCCCCCGGAGCGCTGAAAAACTCCTGGATCTTCTTTGTTATGACTTTATCCTCCTCCATTCCTCCAGTGCTCCCAAACCCCGGAGTGTCGATGATTATGAGGGAAAAGGGGACACAGAAACCCTCCTGATGATTCAGCACGTAGGCCGTCACCTCCAAGGTCTGGCTTTCAGCTTTCCTTCCACTGGTTTCGTCTACCAGCTCGAATCGGAACGGGTCTCCCCACTGCACTCCCAGGACGTAATTGACCATCGCGTTGATGAGCGTGCTCTTCCCTGCGCCCGTGGCTCCCATCACCATGATCGCTTTCGTGTGGACGTAAAAGTTCTCCTCCCCCAGATGCTTCCTGGAGGGAGATCCGACACCCTTGCTCAGTGGAAGAATAAACACAGGCGGTTCTGTGCCTCTTATGGGTTCATTAATCTTCGTGTACTTCCGGGCGAGTCGGTTCTCGCTTGGCTGCGCTGCCGAGCCCTCCATCGCCCCCTCACTCGCGGGACCTCCTGGCGCAGCCTTGGGGAGAGAAGCGCACGTTAGGACCGGACCGGAGCCCGTGCCTCCCCGGGGTGGCGAGGCAGCCAAGCTCAGCGAGTGGCTCCTGCCCCCAGACGGTCCTGCCTCCCCCTCGGCCGCCCCTTCGCCCCACAACTGCTCCGGGGTGGCGCTGCTTCCCCAGCCGCCTCCAGACCGGTCCTCAGGATGCACCTGTCCTGGGACACCCCTCGTTCCGCCCGGGTCGGATGTGAGCACCGGCTCTCCTGCATGCACACAGGAGGAGGAAGGGCGCCGAAGGGGACCTGAAATGTCAGGGGGACGGGGAGCTCTGGCGGGTGGGCAGTGGGGCCGCAGCAGAGGAAGAGGCGTAGGCGGAGGCCAAGGGGCTCTGCCGTTCACCTGCCAGGCGGGCCCAGGAAACTGTGATTGGAAAGGAAGCCGGGGGGGTGAGGGGCGACCCCCGTTCTCCCGCCTGAGGGCACCATGGCCTGCACAGGCCACACCTGCAAGCTGGTAGCCCTGCCAGAGCGGTCGGTGGCCACCCCAGGGCACCCAGAGTGTTTTGGGCCCCTCATTTGCTAGACAGCTGCAAGTGCACAGGAGCACGAAGGGGATCGAGAAGCTGCAGCCGCAGAAGAGGAGTCTGAGGAAGGAGGATGAAAAGCCAACACCCGGAAGGGGAGGCGGTTGGTTTCCTTTTAAAGAAACAGAGCAAGCCAGAAGGGGTCTCCCGGGCCATCTAGTCTGACCCCCGGCACCACCCGGCTCCGCTCATGACATGCCCACCATGCGCATGTCCAGCCTATCTTTGAACACCCGCACCGGTGGGGCCTCAGCCACCTTCCGTGGAAGCCCATTCCGCACCCTCGGGGTCCTCACTGTCAGGAAATGCTTCCTGGCATCCAAGTTGAACCTTGGCTCCCTGAGCTTTGCTGCGTTGGAGCGCGTCCAGAGAACAGGTCTCTACCCACCTCCGTGGGACACCCCCTCACATACCTGCATGTTGCCAACAGGTCCCCTCTGAGTCTCCTCTTCTCCAGACTGAAGAGACCCAATTCCCCCAGTCTTGCCTCATACCCCATCCCCTGAAAACCGGCCACCAACCTTGTGGCCCTACGCTGCACTGACTCTAACCAGGCTATATCCTTCGTGTAATGAGGGGCCCAAAAATGAGCACAATACTCCAATTGTGGGCGCACAAGAGTCATGTAGAGTGGTAGTAATACCCCTCTCGATCCAGAAGCCACACTTCTGGCTATGCAACCAAGGGTGGCATTCGCCCCCTTGGCCACCGCATCACACGGCTGGCTCACGTTCAGCCTGCAGTCGACCAGCACCCCGAGGTCCCTTTCACAAGTGCTTCTCTCCAGCCACTTGTCCCCTAACCTGCGCTTATGACACCCCTTCCTATGCCCCAAGTGCAAGACCTTGCACTTCTCCACATGGAACGCCATCCTGGTGTCCTCTGCCGTTTTCCACAGTCTGTCCAGGTCCTTCTGGATCCGGAGTACATGATCCTCAGTCGTGGCCACTGCCCCAGTTTTAGTATTGCCTGCGAATTTGATCAGCGGGCGGCTCACACCTTCTTCCGTGTCGCTGAAGAGTTTGGAGCAGAAGACCTAGGGGCAGGTCGCTGGGAGGCCCAGGCACGCCCTGACCCACGCCGCCACGGGGGATGTTGGGAAAACTGGGATAAATCCTGTCAGAGAAACATTGCCTCTGTGTGCTTTTGCAGTGTGGAATCAATCCTGCGCTCCTTCTCAAAAGCACCAGCTTTCCCAGCGAAGTCACTGTTTCAAACGGCCTTCATCCCCCGCTCCTTCCCCTCACC